TTGGTTTCAACGTAACTTTATTCTTTCATGAGTTATTTACAAGTTTCTCTTTGTTCACAGCCATTGACATGTCGAAGAGGTTAACACGTGAGGATCGAAATCGTGTTGATATCTGGTGAACGCAGTAACCGGGTCATTGCAGCAGATTTCAATGCAGACCCCCTACGAGACCACCCATCTCCCATGCTACAGTCAGCAAACTGCTTGCTAAGTTTGGTGAAACTGGTTCAGTGTTGGATTTGCAAGAATGTGGACGCAAGAAAACTGTCACTGATGAAGAAACATCAGTGGCTGTCCTCGCTTCATTCAGCAAGAGCCCACAGCGACTCGCCGCATGTCGCTGGAGAGTGGCATTAGTCGAACGTCCCTTCGGCGGATATTAGCTACTCACAAATGGCACCCTTACAAACTCCAGCTGCTGCAGCATCTCAGCGAGGATGACCCAGATCGGCCACAGAATTTGCAGAATGGGCAAAACAAAAACTGGAACAGTTTGAATGGTGTTAACAAACAAAACCAGCGCTATTGGTCTGACACTAACCCACATTGGATGGATCCCTCCAAGACTGTTGGAACAACAAAAGTGATGGTTTGGTGTGGTATATGGGGCACAACGATAGTGGGTCCATTCTTCATCAATGGAAACCTCAAGGCTGCTGGATATTTGAAATTGCTACATGATGACTCTTAAGGACCTTGGTGCGTTGTTTGTGGTCTGTGTTTCATACCTCAGAGTGGGTGATGCGTACTCCATTGTAAAAAGCCATCACAGTGTTGGCCTCAGCATCTGTCTTGGCGAAAAGTCCCTGTCCTGCTCCTCTGATTGTAGAGTCTGCCACAAACACTCTGACAAACAGAGGCAGGGGTAAGACAATGAAATACTGACCACGAATTCAAGAGGAACAATGTGATTGGTCAGGATTCCTATAAAACGTATCTACCTTTGGCTCTCATAAGGATCTGGAAGCAGAGTATGGGTGGCGATACAGGTGGATGTGGATTTGTCATACGAGTACACAGGACCTGTAAAAGAAGATTGTCAGATTAGTGGGACTCTTTAACCACAGGCCTTTCTCCATGAAATACAAGTGGAACCATATTAACCAGCCCAGAGGAAATGACACGAGCATGGGTGGTGGACAGCACATGCAAG